ATATATATATATATATTCCAAATTTTTATGATATTTTCAAATTTATATTTTATTCAAAAATAAAATCATTATTGTTTTCTTAAAAACGAATAAAATCGTATTATAACATCGATAGAGCCAAATAATAAAATAAAACATTAAAATCAAGATATGTCTCACTGCATTGCGAGAATACTCTTCTAGTCATCTAAAAGATATGACGAAGGAGATATTATTTATATTAAAGTTAGATTAAAACTGAAATATCTTATAGTAATTAAGTTATAATACATTCCTATAGAAAGAGGTTATGATTAATAAAAATTATATATTTTGTTTTGTTGTAAATTAAACATGTTATCAACATGTATACTTACACCAAGACAAACAATAATGATTAAATTGCTATAGAATCCTAAAAAAAGTTGAGTTAGAGTTAGGTAGGTAAGAGAGATGGTCCGTTCAGCAATTAATACATCCTATTAAGACTTCATTCATTGCTTTCACCAAGATAATTGACAACATATAACTTTTAGTACATATTCAGTGAACCTTTATCATCACCAATCACTTGTATCTTTAATATTTCATAAATACTTATTTATCTTCTAAACCTTTAAAAATAGATAACTAAATTTTCAATTTTGTTATTCAATAATATATATAAATATTTAACGGATAAAGACTATATTGTAAAATTGTGATTTAGTTAACTAAAAAGTGTGATTAATACGCATGTCTAAAACTATGCCTCATTTTTTTTACTGTAGGTAATACAAAATCAAGAAATAAGAAACTCAAAATAACAACTATTATACCGACGCTCCCCCTGCTAATGGCACATACAAAAACGGAAACGAAGTTTTCTGGGCAAAGATAGAAATGGACACATGAGCATCAACGTTTTTTTTTTTTTTTGAATTGATGCATAGAAGTAGAGTAACAATGTAGTATTCATAATGAATAGCTCTTAAATCATATAAATTTGAACATATGTGATTTTGTTTTCCTTGTGTATGTATACAAGGTTGGCTTCTGGTAAAAAAAAGAAAKAAATTATGRTGAAAAACGTAARAAGAGATTTTCAACCTTGAATCAATCCTAATCAAATATCAACACTAACAAGGTGCACCGAGATACACCAGATCATTTCCCTTCTAAAAACGTAATTCATGGATGAGTATGAGATTAAAAGTGATCAAAAATTCAGATCTCTTCTCACGCGTTTATCACCATAACTTCCCTTCTTACAAGATCCTTCGCCTATACAATATATATACATATATATAAATATTATATTTCAAAAAGAAYTGTATTTGTAGATTACAATATTTATCTTGTATTTGAACATATATACAAAATATATATATAYAGGACAATTCAACTGCAACTCATTACATTTGTACAATCAATGCAACTTAAGCAATTGAAATATTTATAGAAATGATGAGAAATCATTTATTATGATTTGGATATTTATGAAAAATTACTAAAGTTCATTAATTATGATCAATACTTTATATTAGGAAACAATTTAAACTTTTATGAAATCACATATTCATCATATTAAATGACGATTGAGATTGAGTTGTCTTGATTGTAYAAATATAAAGGGTTGCATAATAACYCATTTWTATATATATATATATATATAGAGAGAGAGAGAGAGAGAGAGAGAGAGAAAGAGAGAGAAAATGTTTCAAATGCAACTTATCACATTTGTAAACCAATGCAACCCAATCAATTGAGATATTTATGGAAATGATGAGAGTTCATTTATTATGATTTGAATATTTATAGAAGATTATTAGGGTTCATTAATTATGATTAATACTTTATATTAAAAAACAATCAAAAACTTTTATGAAATCACATATTCATCAAATTAAAAATAAACGGTTGAGATTGAATAGTATTGATTTTACGAATGTAAAGGATTACATAACAACCCACCTTTGTATATATATATTAGAGTTTAAACATGATGTTTTAAGAAAATTAGACAAAGTACTTGAAAGAAGTTGACATCAACGACACTGATTTATAGTTGGCTTTTTTATTATTTTTAATTAGATGTTCTGTTTGATGCTTTTGTTTAACCCGTTTTGTTGCACCACCAGTTGCAAGGATCATCACTTCCCCTACCTGAATCAAAAGGCAGTTCGTGCAGCACCAGTTGCAAGGATCATCACTTCCCCTACCTGACTCAAAAGGCAGTTCGGTTGAGGGGTGTAAATAATGCAAGTAGAATTTGGTATTCAAAGAATGGGAAAATATATTTCCAATTGCATTGTTGATGCCGAATTAAAGATTTGAACCCAGGGCCTCCTTTCCAATCCATATGCACAAGTGGAAGTGGTTTTTCGAATCCATAAAACCAAACCAAACATTATAGCTTATTCAAAAGTAGAGTTGAGCTGAAAATTAAATGGGCATATAATTTACAAATCATATTACAAGTAACATGCTTCTTTAGAAACAACAAAACACCAAGAACCACCAGCAACTCTGCATCACTTACCATGTTAAGGTATGTGTCAATTTGCTAAAWCTTTATAAAACATATCCGCCAGTGCAAGTAATCATCTACCTTCAAGAAAAACATGTCCTTAATCAAGTCCTGTTACGGAAAAGAATGTCCGAATGCATTTGCTCAAAGCTACCGAGAACAAACTTCATTGCGTCACTGATCACACATCCCATATGAATATTCGAAATCAGTCAGTCATTCAACTTCATTATGCATTTTCAACCTTCTTTGCATAATTTAATCACTCCTGCATTTCAAATAGCAGATTAGTAGGGAATTTTAATTTTGTCCGTTTCAACAAACCTAGTATATCTCACACAATGGTAATAGGATGTATGCAATGCATTCCCAAGAACAACAAAGAATCAAAAACCTGGGTTGGGTTCCGGTGAGGAAAAAAGTTATGGTGAGAAGTGTAAGAAGAGATCTCCGCCCTTGGATCAATCCTAATTGAATGTCAACACTAATGAGGTGCACCAAGATGCACCGGATCAATTCCCTTTCTAAATTGCAATTCATGGGTGGGCATGAGATTAAAAGTGATCAAGGCTTCTCACTATAACTTCCCTTTTCACACAATCCTTCACCTCAAAAACCATGCACCCAAATAACTAGGGGAAGCATAAAATTTTTCAAAACGGTGGCAGATTATGTCCCAAATTTGGATTAAAAATGGGTTTATAATGTGTTTTATGCCCATTTCGGACCCAGAAACAAAGTCGAGTACAAGCTCTAATTGGAAAGTTGTTTGTGGGTCTATACAGTCCTATATGAGAGCTTCATTTTGATATATTGCAACTTGGATCGAGATGGATCCATAACCACTGAACTTGTGAGTGAGCGCACGTTCAGCAGGTACGAATGCTGCACCGAGGTCGAGCAGAAAGGTTAGCGTAAGTTCTTGATTTCGTAAAATCAATTGGGATTCAGGTCGGTTTCCTCTCCCCCTTTGTAGTTTTCTTAAAATATGGTAGCACACAACAAAAAGTTATGGTGGTACTGTTAAAGACAGTAAAAAACTTCCGACTACGACGGAACTATTAAGCGGTGGCAACTGGCACAAAACACCATATGCTCGCTACCCCATTGGAGAAAATAGGACGTATAGTTACTGCTATAGAGCATGCTTGGATTCCAGAAACATGTTTAAATCAAACCCATATTTGAGAGATTCTAGTTATACAGTATTTAGCTTCAAACCTTGAATCTCTTTGAGCGTGCGTTGTTCTCCGAAAAACGGGGTACATGTGACTGATATCTAGCAGCTTCACTTTTATAATTACCAGCTGCAACTTTCGGCATCAATCTACTATTTTCTTCAGTTTGACTTCTAGCATTTCTAAATAGGTCATCCTTGTCCCAAGTCACCTCATAATCAGCCTTTAAACGTGAACCTTGCTGTAATCCAAACAAACAAAATTAACATAGCAGTGACATGAAAGAAATGCACAACATATCAAGTATGTGAATTACTCCCTGCGTCCCAAAAAAAGCGTCCACCTTTCTATTATAGTTTGTCCACAAATCAAATGTCCACCTTTTTATTTAAGTGACTAATTTCCAATTCCACCATTAATTATGAGATGGAGAAATTCCTCTCCCTCTACCGTTAAGAACAAAATTGTCATTTGGCTGGTTAAGAAGTGCAATAATTACACAATCCTAAAATTGTGCGCCTTTTCATTGTGGACATTTGTTTTGGGATTGTGGAGAGTATAGCATAGGTGATGCATTTTGCTTGCAACGGTTTTTGACACCCATGGATGCATGATATATTTGATATTCCTAATTATTTGGATATGCTAATGTTATTGAATTTACAGGATTAGAGTTGGACCAAAATGTTAATCAAGTCAAACCTAAGCCTGCCAAATTCAAACCGCCAAAACAAATGTCATGCATCCACCTACAGACCGGCCCAAGTCCATTTATTACGTTATATATATATATATTCTAGGAGATAGACGGGGCATTTAGTGAATATAGGAGTAGTCTGTCAGCAGGGGTAATTGGGTAATTTCTGAAATGAATTGGGGTGAGTAGTACAAATAGAAGTGGTGGTGAGAAAGTAGAGGGAACCAGAAATTTGTTTCATGTTTCTCGGGAGAGCACTGATCTCTCAAATAGCCAATAATCATTTAGTCTCATAGATGAATTCCATCAGATTCTTTGATAATTACAGTTCCCTTTTTAGAGTTTGATAGATCCTGTGTGGTTCATAACAACAGACTCAATAATTCAGGCAAATATCAGAATTGAGGCGATTTTCATAAGCCAGCATAGTTCTGGTAGTACATTTTAGTTCTTATTGCACCCAAAAGATTATTTTCTTTCTTTAACTCAGACCATGTTTTATCCCCGAACCTGAGACCTTGTGAGACTAAGCTATGATAAAAATAAGCAGTTCATATAATAGCTTTATCTATCTCTAGATTCAAGCCATTTCAAGGTGCCTGCTATAGATAACACTTGATGCTTGTCCTGGAGTCAGATTTTCCAATCTCACAATCTTCACTTATTCTAATCTTCTGATGTTAAAATTATTAGTGCTCTATGCTGTTATATCGGTCAGAATACGAAATATCGGTCAGGACCGATATTCGATATATCGGTTATATCGGTGATATATCGGTGATATATCGGAAATATCGGTTAACATAATATTTCTTAGAATTATATATATATAATATAATTCTATATATTATATATATATATAGAATTAAGTTTAGACCTAATTTACTAAGTTTAGAGAGACCGAGAGAAGAAGTCTGAACTAAGTTTAGATTTAGATTTAGACCTAATTTACTAAGCAGCCCAAAAAATAAGGCCCATGGAATAAAAAAAAGCCCAAATTTTAACCCTTGTAAAAATCGGAATATCGGACCGATTTTTCACTAAAATATCGCTCAAAATATCGCCAAATATCGCCGATAATATCGTTGGCGATATTTTGGCCGATTTTTCATGACCGATTTTTTTTTTCCGAGCGATATCCGATATATCGCCGATATATCGGCGATATATCGCGATTTTGACAGCATTAATAGTGCTACATAGTTCGTAATTGCTTTATTTCTTCTAATGTTGCTTTAGAAAGCTGTAGGTATTGCCCAGATAGCAGGTCATCGATTCCTAGTGGAAGAAAATGTCATCTATTTGAGTGTGACGTAGCACGGAACATAATTCAAATGTTTGGTATTTATAACAGAATCTGCAATATCCATCTCATTACCATATTCCATACGAGGATGAAGTTGGTAAATATACATTCCAAAACAAGTCGAGCATTACTACAAACTAATTTCTGGTGAAATCATATGCCAAAAAGTGTTCTTTACGTAAAAGTTAACATTTTTACAAGGTATGGATGCATTCTTAATTTCAGGCTCAATGTGGCAATTCCGTTTTACAACATACATACAGGGCACTCGTATCTTTTGCTCAAGGTTTCACTGTTGCTAACAAGTGCCAGTCAAAATTGGAGTCGTCTATATGTTCAAATACGAGTCTTCCGGTTTTGATCCTTTTTTTCTTCCTGGAGGAAATGTAATACCACATAATCATATAGCAAATATGCCGTCCAAAAACTAGTTAGAGGCAGGATAACCGTTAAAAAACAATGTCTACTAATCAAAAAAATAAATTGGAAATGCATGTCTACCTTTTGTAATGACCTCCCACACAACACCTTCAACGCCTTAGAAAACTCCCTATGGTCCTCAAATCGAACCGCAATCTTACATTGAAGGCCAGGAACTATGTCTTCATCTTCTTCATCTGCATCTTTCCCCCTACCATCATCTTCAGAGACATCAAGATTCCTATTCAGAAGTAACGATCAGTTAAAAGCATATCTTCACCCTACAAAAGAAGTCACTGAATTATGCTTTCTTGTTTTAGCCTTAAAGTGGTACCAGTCTTTTTCCTTTTATTTCCTTGGAACTTAGAGAACTACGTTAGGATGCCATCATTCATGTTGTACGTGACAAAAGCATGCTTATTGCCATGCACTTTCTTCATATGACCCACCAACTGTTATGTGGTGCTTTACTACTAATAAAACTTGAAATTAAGAATTTTCCTTAATTCTAAAAATCTACTATGTGGAAACAAACAAACCTTATAAAAGTAATAAAATAAATGCACTTCAACACAATTTATTATAAAAGAATGGAGGGTCAGAAATTAATCAGAATCCATATAGTGAAGCAGAGAAGTATTGTGATACAATACGAGAAAGAAGACAAAACCGTAACCCAAACTTTTATCTAGATTTTGCAATACCTACTCTCAAGGTGTAAACTTTGCAAGAGAATACAAAACCATAAGACCCATAGAAACAGGAACAAACAATTCACATCCTTTCATTAAAAAATGCAAATATTGCACACTACATCACAACACCACCATGTGCCACGGTGCGTATGGGCCTGCAGTATTGCCATGCCATGCACAGACTATCACGTTGACAACCCTTATATATTTGTAGAGTGTTTGACTATTAGTCATGTCTTGACTATCTTTGTATCAATTAAACTTTTTGATGGATTCATGGATATAACGAGTAGAAAGTGTTTAATGTAAGTCCCAATTTTCAACTTGAAGTAAACCATGCAGGCCAAAATCTAGGCACAAGATACTTTTCTAGCTGTGGCCATCAGGGTATACAAATCATTTTCATCTTGAAGCTCTCAAGAGAAGGAAACAGCACACTTGAAATGGGACATCCAAAGTTGAAATTGTTGCAATCTCCATGAGATGGGGGTCTAGTCCAGTACAACTCAAAAAATCTACTTCCCTAGTCAGTCTCAATGCACTCACTCTTACATCCATTTTCCCCTAGTTAATGCATCCTTTCTTATAGTTCCTCTCTCACATCAAATTCTGGTTTCGCTGTTTCTACTTATACATAGAAACATGTAGAAAGTTTTATTGCAAGTCCCATTTTTCAACGTGAAGTGAACCATTCAGACTGAAATCTAGGGACAAGACACCTTTCTAGCTGTGACACTGTATATAAGCCATTTTTATCTAGAAGTTCTAAAAGAAGAAATAATCCAAAGCTGAAATTGTTACAATCTCCATGAGATTGAGCCATGAGATTGAGCATAATTCAGTACGATTTAAAAAATCAATTTCCCCTAATTAGTGCGCCTCTCTTACCTCCATTTTCTCCTAATTAGTGCACCTTTTCTTATACCTCCTCTCTCATATTAAATTCTGGTTTCGCTGTTTCTACTTATTTTATGTCTTATTTCCTTTTTATCTATCTGCTATTGACAATGTTTATATTTATTTTTGAATCATGTATGTCTTCTTTATTTTCTTGCTCCGCAATAGCCAATGTCTATATTTCTTCTCTTCCCTTTCACCAATCAATGGGAGTAAACAAACCTGGAGTATAACAAATTTTCTTCATCAAGGCAAGCCTCTACTTCTTTCTAGCAATCCGCTTTCTTATACCCAACTTTAGGATTCAATTGGATTGACAACACACGTTCACACGTCATCAACTCTCAGTCTCTGCTATTTGTGGTTGCACTTGCTTCCTGACTTCTAAATGAAATTGCTGGTAAAGTGAATTGATGTTACAATTCTTTTTTAGACACAGGGTACAGTACATGCCTTCCATTTCACAAGCAGATGCCATCTTGTCAGTTATCATCACTGGCTTCTACCAAGCAGTGAAAATGGTAACTTCACTTATCCTAGAAATTTAATGCTATTACCTGTTCATTCTATCATAGTCAAGTCAAGTTGCAAAGATGTTTAGTTGTCACCTGGGAATCACAATTGTATCTCATTATGTGTTTGAAGGCCATCTGAAATGCATTGATTTTCTATTCACCCCAACCAACGGATCTTAATATGTTCATAACTTTGTTAAGGAGGCTCGTAAATAAATACCATCATAAGTCAATGACAAGGTTGTCCTCATAGTCAAAAGTGATCTAATTACATGTATTTTTATCATGATATTTCTCAATGTTAATAAGAAACTGCCATTGTTGTCAAAAGATTGTGAAAGTAAATTTGGGAACTCGTTAGGTATAAAGCGGACAAGATCACTTCTTTGATTTCATCATACAAAAATTTCAAGAAATCTAGTTTCTCTTTAATGCCTTCCATCATTTTGATTTTCCTTTGTGAATTCAATCATGATTAGTAAGATCTTTTTGTGTTCTGACTGCAATCCACCCTAAAGTTCATGAAGGGGCTATTACCTGGGATTGATATTAATTATGTGCACAAGCATTGGATTAGTTAATTACCTCAATGTGATAGGATGTAGAAGATTGTAGTAGGACTCTACGCTGTTCTTTCAGCACGAGTTTATAGGAAGAAGTTTGTATCTAGACTGCTATGGATACCCACCTAGGTTACTTTCTTGTGGATGTTCCTTGGACAGCAATGACCACAAACTTGCTGGATAAGAAACCTCAAAAGAGATCTTACTTCTTTCAATTTGTAACAGTGTTACTTTGTAAGAATGCTCAATTGTATCCTGGTCATGTGTACCAATGTACCACTATAAGCAGCATTAAGGGATTTAAGCACAAAGACTGGTTCAATATTTGTTCCCTCTAACAATTTGTACTACAATGCGGCACACAAATTGTGGCAAGCTTAGCATTCATATCTTGGTAGTATACTTACAAGTTACAAGCATCATTAAATCAATGACCAAGTCGCTTGATGAATGTACATACCAAATTTCATTACTTTGCATTTATTGTATCTACCATACTATAATGGCAAGAACTTCGATGAAACATGTAAAACAAGATCAACAAACGTAAGAGAACCCAACCACAGAGACATACCTTATCTTTCCTAATGCAGAAAAAATTGTATGAGTGACCAACATTGAAGGCTTGGAAGAAACTCTTGTCTCAGCAAACCAACGTGATGGAACACCTCTTAGCACAATTGTGTCAGGTTCCCGTTTTCTACCCCTTGAATAGCCTGTTCATAGTAAGAACATGAATGTCCACAGAAATGGAACTTCAAAATGGTAATCAATTTTCATGACAAGACATTTAGGATTAACCTATATATATAACATAAACAAAACACTGCATAAAACAAGCACATCTATGAATTAAAAACATAATGAAATAAAATGTCATTCCAACTACAAGTTACAAGGTACAAGCACATGATAAAGATACTAATATATAACCAGTAGATCACTCAGACTCAAAACCCAGACCACTCAAATCACAACTGCTGTTTTTGATGAAGTGGAATGAAAATATGTTGCTAATACCATAAATAGAATGACTTTATAGGGCAGCTGACTTGGCATTCAAAGATGCATACTTTTTTAACTGCTAGAACTCTAGCATTCTTCAACTGGATGTCATGAAAATTTGAGAAATCTATAATTTGCTTTAGTCTAGCATTTATGATTAAAGAATGAACCCTGGATATGTTTGTAAAAAAATTATGTTTCGTGCATACAATGTATATTTAGTCGACTCTTTATTAAATATATGCATACACACACAAACGGTTAATATCTACAGAATGTTCTATCTAGGCTGTACTTGTCTGAGTCTAGATCTCATGTCTTAAAATAAAAAATATTATGTTCCCAGATGGAAAAAATTATATTGCGGCTTTTAGCCATCTGGCAATACCATGGTTACATTCTACTAAGTGCATTTATTGTAAAAATGTATTGTTTGTTACTCTGAAGCTTCACTTCTATCTAGCATAATCAAATACAGCAGCAGCAACAATCCAACAACAACAAAAGAGATTAATCGAATATTTGTTAGGATTCAGTCACAGCCACAACCAAGAAATTTTTTTTTCTTCAAATGCGAAGCACATCTTCCATGTAGGGTTCTAAATGATAAGGGTAAAACATGAGTAGCTTAGGGTCCATTCATGTCGATCTGATGATTAATTGATGAGTTTGATCTAGATTTACGGCTTGCACAAGGGTTGCTTCTCCATGCAAAAACTAGGGCTCATTTAGTATTTATTAGAACCATAAACTTTGCGACTATGACCACCAGCGGAGGCACATAAGGGCCAGAGCCCACCTTTAATTCTAAAAAATTTTATATCGCCTCATTAGTCATATCATTCGTTATGATCCAGGCTCCCCCTATCCATCTTCAACGACTGAGCTCCCCCTACGGCCTCTGCCACTGCCCCTCTGTATGATGCAGGCTCAGTGGCTGTCCTGAATAGTCTGCACGAACAGGGTCAGAAGTCAGTTGCTTCACTCTGCCACTGCATTCTGAAACTTAAATTTGATATTTTGTGATGGGAAAATTGCACCAAAATGGAACCAACTTTCACCTAATTCCTATTTTGGGGAACCAACTTTCAAAATCGTTATTTTGGGAAACCAACTTGCACTTGATTCCTATTTTGGGGAACCAACTTGCATCTGATTCCTATTTTGGAGAACCAACTTTCAAAATCATCATTTTGGTGAACCAACTTGCACCTGAATCCTATTTTGGGGAACCAACTTGCAAAATAATTATAAAAAAATAACTAAAATTCATTTTTTTTTTCCCAAAAATTAATGCAATAAAATCTATTTTTCATTTCAAATCTCGTTTTTTTTAATTCAGACATCTAATTGAACATTTAAAAAAAATCCAAATTACTACAATAAAAATTGTTTTTTACTAATGCAAAAAAATCAATTTAATAGAATTTTTTTTTATAAATTCAATAAAAAATAAATATTTAAAATGTTCAATTTGATATCTAAATTAAAAAAAACGAGATTTGAAATGAAAAATAGATTTTATTGTATTATTTTTTGGAAAAAAACGAATTTTAATTATTTTTCTATGATTATTTTGCAAGTTGGTTCCCCAAAATAGGAATCAGGTGCAAGTTGCTTCCCTACAATGACGATTTTGCAAGTTGGTTCCCCAAAATAGGAATCAGGTGCAAGTTGGTTCCCCAAAATAACGATTTTGAAAGTCGGTTCCCCAAAATAGGAATCAGGTGCAAGTTGGTTCCCCAAAATAACGATTTTGAAAGTTGGTTCCCCAAAATAGGAATCAGGTGCAAGTTGGCTCCCCAAAATGACGATTTTGAAAGTTGGTTCCCCAAAATAGGAATTAGGTGAAAGTTGGTTCCATTTTGATGCAATTTTCCCTTTTGTGATGGTGGAGGAAACACCAAACACAATTCACTATCATGGCCGCTATGGCTCAGGATTTACTAATGGTCCCAGCTAATACGGAAGTTTCGGAATCGACAGTTTCTTTGAGTGGCAGGATCATAAACGATCAAATGCCACATCCTTCAAAAGAATCGATGGAGATGTGTGTGTTTGAAGGACTACTACGATAACAACGTAAGAATTCAAGACAAAGAATCATTGGAGAACAATCTTGTGGAAATCGAAGATGATGAATCGGACGAAGAACAAAGGACATTCACAAACTCCAAAACACCACCGATGAGGAGTTAGAACATATCCCCGAAAATGGAGACAAAACCAAAAAATAGTCAAGATTCAAGAACGAAGACACAATTGAAGGATTAAAAAACGAATACCAAAGATTTCAAAACCCGAATGATTTGGGTCTAATTTGGAGAGAACTTTGGATCCATGTAGCTCATCTTACAATTCACCTATCACCAGTATCGGCCTATCAGGTACTTATCCAGAAAGTAACTTCGTTGAGAGCTCTATAATCTACCCAAAACCTCCACGAACTCTCTTTCTTCTTAGTAACACGCAACTAGAGAAACGAGTGTTAGATGATGTTTGCCTCTAGCATATATTGGATAAGTCTTCTGAGCGTGCGAGTATCGATGGGGTTGTACACTAACCAGTTCAGCCCCGTCCCTCAAGTTAATGGCGTGCTCTCTTTCCCTTGGGGGGGGGGGGGGGGGGGGGAATCCACCTGGCCACTCAAAAACCGATTGGTAGACCCAAGTAAGTCTTGCAAAAAATCAAGAGTGACAATTTTATCCCTATTTTGGGGTTTGTTTTAACACTTGATTCAACTAACAGGTAACCGCCCTTTTCTTCAATAAAAGTTCATATCATATTTTTCCAAGTTACCTTGTTTGGTCCAACGAAGGTCCCCAGAGATAGACTTCCCATCCACAAGAAATTTCATTACCAATGTTTTCCAACTCGTCGTCACCACCCCTAACTTCTCTAGCAATTTAATATTGTCTGGTGCTTTGTTACAGATTAGGCTACTCCAAACTAGCAGTGGAGAGTGAAAAACTATCATTTTCCATAGCATCTGTGGAGGTACAGTCCCTTGAACAGTCCCTTATATGATCAAAGGATGATATTTGCTTTTCCCAATGCTATAGAAAGAAAATCCTCAAAGATTTCGACTCCTTGGAGATCCAGTAAAACCCCTTGGCGAACCCCCTCCCCTTGTGGCCAATGACATGGCCTACTCCAAATTGTAGATGCCCAAAACCCTAACATCAGTCAGTCGGGATTTTCACTTTAAACTCATTAAGAAGTGACCCAAGGCTATCTCATTTAATTTAAGGAAGCAGAGAGCTCGATAAAGCTCTCCTTTGAAAGTCCTGAACAGAACCAACTTATGTTAGGGCTAGTCATTATTCGTAAAAAAATCTTGAATGAAATATCTTTCTGCCCTTATAATTCAGCCGTCGGAATTGTTGCCATCAAACAATAGCTTATCCAACTTTCTAAATCCAATTAAATACAGCCTCTGAGGTCACCGCACCCCCTGAATGATTTCCCAAACTAGGTGGACTATCGTTATGGGGAGGACCAGCAAAAGAAAATTTTGGTTCCAACAGAGTAGCACGTACCTCATCTCGTATTGATGAATGGAGTTGAATGTTTTTCACTGTCATCTCCGATAATCGTTGGATGATTAAGGTTACTTGATCACTAAACTATTGTCATGATGCTTGTTACAAATCTAATGTAGTCCTTACTCTGACAAGCTCACGTTCTACTGACTCCACTCTCTGCGCTACCGATTGAGTGCCATAGTTGCTCAGGATAAGGTACTCTAGTACGAATTGCTATGCACCAAAACAAGAACCCAAAAAACTATGGAAGATTTCAATGGAAGGAGGTGAGTTGAATGATTGATAACCAAAAAAAAGACGTTTACCTTTTCGAGAGGTTAGTCTCTCCCTTACAATTGTGAAACAAACTTTCAACATGCCACAACATGTTACTTATAATGTGTAATGACTAAAGTAAAAGAAAATACCAAAGTACCCTTTAGCTAACAAATCCAACAGATGTATTATTCCCAAATTTTTGTATTCCCCTTCTCAATCATTTCCTTTTGCTTCTTCCTCCTTGCATAAGTGAATCTAATAGAGACATGTGCTTCTGCTTCTAAGGTTCAGAAAGTAGGGATTTGTAAGCAAGCACAAGTCATCTTTTTGGGCCATTTATAAGAAGCAAAAAGTAGTCTAGGGGCATTTTTGTTTACATGTAACCCAGCCTGTTAAGCAATTTTTTCGACTAAGATACTACAGAAAAAGAGAAGAAAATATTGAAGTCGCATTAAAAATATTTATTGATTTCACATAGGCCTCCATGTATGTTAACTTATGATTGCTCATCATTTCATCTCTCATCCATAGCTTGAGATTAATCAAATATCAATAGCTAATGTGTTGTTACTTTTGACTAATGATACTCTAGTAGGTATTAACTGAATTAGGGGTGAACAAAGACGCCACTAACCCGACCAACCCGACCTAACCTGAAGTCGCACGATACCTAATCGAGTTGTAAAATCTGCAAGCTATCGGTATTGGGTTGGAATTGGGTTAAGGCCATTTGAACCTATCCTAACCTGATATCATTCTATACCATGGATTTAATATGATTTTTACGTCCTTAATTAAATAATATGTATATTAGACATCAGACCAACCCGTACCTAGCTATATTCATAATTATATCATAATTTAACTGTAATTTTACTTTCTTATTTGCAAGAACCTTCAACTTTCTTCTTTAAGTTTGTTGCATGTTTTCACAGACTTGTAAGTTTAACTTATAACTTTATGTTGTTAATCTAGTGTAAATTAAAAACCAATGGACAACTAATGTTAGTGGTTAACTGATTCTACTATTTTGTTAAGTTACAATATGGTTATTTAGTTGAACATCATTGATTCTTTATGTGTTGTTCATGTCAAATCGTATGTGTTAATGTTATTTACTCTTATTACTGTTTTGTCTTGATGTCATTTACTTTAGTAATGTTTTGTGTTAATGTTATTTACTCTTATTAATGTTTTGTGTTAATGTTATTTACGCTTTTAATGATTTAATAAACTAGATACTATAAGTGTGCATGTCTACTCCCCTTCTAAACATTATATGTGTATACAAGTGTGTTGTGTATGTATGAACTTTTTGTAAGACATGTTGCACCTCATCCAATGACATGTTGCACCTCGTCCATAGGCTCTGTGGAGATCATTTCACCTAGATGACCTAGCGCCTTAAATAACACTAATTCGCACAAGTCATATCAAAATGAAGGTTTTTGGCATCGATGAAAAAGATGTGACCTTATCTATTTGTTTATTTGGATGGTTAGTTATTAACTTTAAAAGAACCTGACAACCTAGCCTTAATGATCTAAAAACCTCTACCTAAAAGCAAATTAACCAACCAAATCCACTAGAGTGCGTTATTATTAGACTTATCTATATTATGCTACTTGGTCATTCAAGTTGATGAAGAATATTAGAATATAGGGGTGTAAGGGGATTGTAGGAGATACGAATAAATCATGGGAAGGTCTGCAACTTGAGGTCCGAGTCAACAGCAGCCTCTTTGCAAAAGCTAAAGAAATGCTACNAACCAACCAAATCCACTAGAGTGCGTTATTATTAGACTTATCTATATTATGCTACTTGGTCATTCAAGTTGATGAAGAATATTAGAATATAGGGGGGGGGGGGGATTGTAGGAGATACGAATAAATCATGGGAAGGTCTGCAACTTGAGGTCCGAGTCAACAGCAGCCTCTTTGCAAAAGCTAAAGAAATGCTACATACAAAATCCCTCACCAACCCTCATACAGACAAAGATTCATAGTGCAACAAGATCTCCTTTACAATCGTATTTACCATTAGCTATTACAATAACCATGATGAAAAATAAAAAGAACATAATAAACACCCTAATGCCTACAAGCCACGTGAGATATAAGACAAATTCCCAATCTTCCAATGTTAAGTACAATTACATTTTGAGTCTATAACATACAGCCCTCCATTGCAAGACCACTGAAAGGCATAAACATGTACGTCTTTTCGTATTTTGAACCTAAAGAAGGATTCATCCGAGTTACAAATGAGAGAGAGAGAGAGAGAGAGAGAGAGAGACTATGGGTATTCACATTTTGTTAAATTTTTAAGTTAAGAACAGAGTTAGCAATGAAAGGAACATAGAAAGCTGATAAAAATAGAGAGTTGGCAGTAATGTGAACCTCTATCTCCGCCACCAAATGCAGAAATGTCCTCCCAGTCTTTCCTCATCGCTTCAAAATCATCCGACTGCGGAATCTCAACACTCAACTTAAACCTAACCCCAACAAGACTCAACTCAATCCCATCCATCTTAGCAACAACCATTTTCTTCCACTCAACAACCTTCTTTTCCTGTTCTTCACGACCGATTTTACTCGACGAAGAGTTGGATAAAAAGCTTAATTCACGAACGAAAAGCTTACCGCGAGCAACAGGGTCCTCACGCTTTCGTTTCTTGATGTCTTTAAACTTACGAACGTGGAGGTCGTCTTCGGGAACAATGAGGGAGAAAGTAGCTTTGAGGAAATCGATTAAGGAGCGCTTGAGTTGCCATTCGTCGAGTGGTTTGACAGAGGCGTCGGAGCGGAAGACGGTGAGGTTGAGGTTGAAACGAGGGACGAGGGAGAGACCGGTGTCTAGTTCTAGGGTTTGAAGGGGGAGGAGGGAATCGAGAGACGGATGGCTGCTCATTGTCAGCTTTGGCTTCTGTGAAACGCAAACGAAAGCAACGACACCACACCAATTAGACTTACTTGAAGGGGGAGGAGGGAATTTTGATTATAATATTTTATTTTATTATTTATTATTTATTTAAGTCGTTGTTGTAGTATTATTTTATATGATTTTAAAAATATATGATATTTTTATTTTTAAATAAAATATAAATTTAAAAATATCATAAAAATATATTGATATTAAATAAAAATATAGGTTTAATTCAAGTTGCTTTTAAACCTTTAACTTTACAAGGTTTAAATGAATCATTTTTAGCAGTCTTAAGAGACGCTCGTAATAGAAATTGGAAACAATCTTTAATGGGAATTATACAAACTAGCTTGGCTCATGGTCCAGTTTATTTTAATRTGTATCCTAATTTACATTGACCATTAGTTACATGGTCCAGTATGTTATAGAGTATATTATAGACCATTAGTTACATTGAATCCTAGATGTAAAAGATGGCAAAAAATGAATAATGAAACTATTTTAATAGAAAGTAATTTAGATACTTCTAAAATTACAACTAGAAGAGCTATAAAATGGGATGAAATTGATTTCCCTAAGCATTGGGTTTTAGAAGACATTGTTCCTCCAAAACCACAAACTACTAATAAAATAACTAATATAATACAAACACCAGATGGTAATATTGAAATAGAATTTGAAAAGAATTCTAAAAWYTTAATGGAAAAATCATTATCTAGATCTACTTCGACTAGGTCTTTTATATCACCTATAGAATATCATATTGAAACTCCAGCTAGAGCTTCAACCTCTCAAATAGCTTCAACATCTCAAATTAATAAAAAAATAGAACATTTAAAAATTAAYAATAATATTGTTGAAACAGATGAGGATCCTACTGCCTCAGAAATGAATTTTGAGTTATGATGGATAGTATGATATATATGATGGATGATGTAATTGATTTTTCTAAAGGTTCTCCTGCAAGACTGCATATCAGTCAAGAATTTAATCAAGAAAAATGGAAACCATTTAGAGAATGGTTTTTTGAAACCTTTTCAAAAGATGAATTAATATCTTTCCAAAATGAATTTTATAATCAAGCGAGTCATTTTAATAAAATTATATATTTTGTTCCATGGTTTTGTTATACTTATCTTCAAGATTATTTAAATACTATTGAAAGAGAATATACTCTTGTAAATGGAAATATACAAAAATCTGTWTTTCCCCCTCAACAATCTTTTGTTATTTCAAAAGATAATCAAACAATTCATTTTTCAGCYTATCAAAAATTAATTGAAAGTCCTCATATGTCTACTACTGTTGATCACATTAATAAATTAATTCAACAACAGAATTTTCAAGGAATATATTCAATCATATTAGGAGAGAAAATACAATCTTTACATGATAAGATTGATAATATYAATGAAATTCTTAATAAAAGAAAACAAATAGAAGCTGTATCTAAACAGGATAAGATTATGGCTACAATTCAACCACCACCTGAAATAAAGAATTATAAATTAAAAGATACATCTAAATTAGAAGAAGTATTAACAAATATTGAATCAAAGATATCAAAATTAAATATTAATACTTTAGATAATGAAAATTCTGATGAAGAATTATCGGATTTAGAAGATCAAATTAATAAGATTGAAAAATATGCTACTAAACCTCAAATGGGWAGGTATTATTATCCTAGACCAACTCCTCAAGATGTTTTACATGAAGAGTTAGAAGAATTACCTAATACTAATTATCATGGTAAAAATATTTATGAATGGAATATTGATGGTCTTACAGAAAGACAAATYTATAATATGACACATAGAATGGTTATGTAYAGYACTATTGCTAAAAATGCAGGAAATAATGATATTAATATTGCTCATATGATAATAGCAGGTTTTACTGGCCAACTTAAGGGCTGGTGGGATAATTATTTATCTGAAAAGGATCAATTTAATATTATTAATGCTTCTAAAATAATAAACGATCAACCTGTTTCTAATGCTGTTTATACTTTGTTAATTAATATAATTGAACATTTTACAGGAAGATGGACTGATAATTCTGAAAATATTCGTACCTTATTGAATGGTTTACAATGTAAAACGTTAACATCATTTAGATGGTATAAAGATACTTTTTTGAGTAGAGTAATGGAACTTAAAGATTGTAATTCTAATTATTGGAAACAGAAATTTATAGATGGACTTCCTCATTTATTTGCTGAAAGAGTTAGAAAAACTCTTAGAGGTAATGATTCTCAAATTCCTTATGATAGACATTCTTATGGTAGTCTAATAGGTAAATGCATACAAGAAGGTTTAGCCTTATGTAATGAACTTAAATTAAATCAACAAATTAAAAAGCAAAGATTAAATGAAAGACAACAATTAGGTCAATTCTGTGATCAATTTGGAATAGAAGGAGTWAAAACTTCTAGATATAAGAAAAAATTTAAAAAAGGAATTAAAAAACCCTTATCTGAAAATCAAAAACAATATAGGAATAAAAGAAAATCAACTAGAAAATTAACTAAAAAGAAATCACCTACATGTTATAAATGTGGTAAAAAAGGTCACTATGCTAATAAATGTAAATCTGTTAAGAAATCTGATAAAGAAAAAGATAAGAAGGTTGCAGTAATAGAATCAACTAGTTCTTCGAATGAATCTGAATATGATTATGAATCTTCTATAGAAGAAATTGATAACTTCTCAACAGAAAGTTCTTCTGAAGAAGATAATTGTGCCTGTAAAAATATAGGTGAATGTTCAGAAAATAAAATTGAAGATGAAGTTTATATAATTCAATCACAATTTGATGATAATCTTACTATCAACATGATAAATAGTGATGTTTTATCTGCTTTAAAATTAATCAAAGATCCAGAATTAAGATCTCAAATAATAGATCAATTAGGAGAAGAAAAGAAAAAAGAGAAAATCATTAATGAACCATATTCAATGAAAACTGTTAATCAGATGTTAAAGGAAAGAAAATTACAACAACCAATTAAATCTGATTATGATCAAGAAATTAAGAATCTTAAATTAGAAATTTCTGATCTAAAATCCARAGTTACTCAATTAGAAAATAATAATATAATAAATAATGATTCGTCATCTACATCATATGATAAAAATGATGAGTTTTTACAAACATTAGAAGGATTTGAATCACATAAATGGTATACAAATGTTAATCTTTTAATTGGTAATACTTATAAAAAGCAATTTGTGGCTATGATTGATAGTGGAGCGGATAAAAACTGTATTCAAGAAGGATTAATACCGACTAAATATTGTCAAAAGACTACTA